CAAAGAATAAATGCACCGGCACCATTGCAAACGATTTTGAGCCATGTCATTCAAGGTCTCCAACCATCGATTATTATCCTATCGCGGACCCCAAACACGTAGTCGACAACTACCGACATGACTCAGTCCACTTGTCAATGACTTCATGAATTTCTGCCATGTTATGGTTTGGCCGCTACAAACTTTCATCCAATCTACTTCTACACCACAAAACAAAGCGCGTCGAAGCAGTCGTTGGTTAGGCATACTCAACACATGTCCCAACCACCTCATCAATTGATGAAGTTTCATTACTTCATCTATTGATCTGCCATACTAATATTAAGTAATATAATACATAAGAGATCCGAAGTATAATTTTAGACAACTTAAACAAACAAACAAACAGATTAGTTACATACATATTAAATCAATTAAAACAGTCAAGAGTACACATTTAAATTGATTATAATTCAATGATCAATTGATTTTAATACGTATTTAATACGTAGACAAAAACTATTTCTATTGTGACAAAAAATAAATAAATACAAATTAAGTAGTAAGTAGTTAGTTATTTACCGATAGATAAGTAAATTCTTCTGTTGTTGATATGACAAAAAAAAAGAATTTTGATTAACTTGAAAAGTGTACTACATACAGGTGAATTCAATCTGCTTATTGAATCATTAGTTTTACATCTTCATCTGTAATTCTTTTTGTTAAATTCTCGAAACACTAATTTTTTTTTCAAACTAATCACAAACAAAAAAACAATGTTTGATCAACCACCAACAAATTGTGTTATTGACATTTTTGAGAATTATCATTAACATTGTATAAAAATATATTATTTAATATCTAAACATTTACCTTCATCAATATTAAAATGTTTGAGGGACAATTTATTGGAATCATGTTACGAGTATGAGGGTGGTTGTCACTTACCGGCTGCACACGCCGTGGAAGGTTGTTTCTTGAGGGACCTCAAAAGGAAGATAGATTAGTGTTGCTCTTGGAGACCTGGGAGTGTGACCCCAGAGTCCAAGGGACAACTGCTTGAGGCCAGTCACGCACGGCCTTTTATCAGACGTTTTTAGAGTATAAGCCCGCTCTTAAAAGCCCTTAGTGGGCACCCTTGTGAGAAGAAAGCATCGTTGCAGATGCCGGTTGTCCAAGGGAATTACCTTACTGCTGTCACATCCCTCTGCAGTAGTCAGCAGTACAACTTCGCCCTCAGATCTTGAGTTGCTGCTTTTAGTTTCATCGTTCTCCAATCGACCTGCCTGGCATGGCAGAACCTACAGGAACATATAGTCCAGTCAATATAGCTCGGTTGGGTCATCACAATAGGGAAGTCCGACCACCACGTCAAGGTAGCAGCTACGGTCGGAGTTGATTGAATTGATTATTGAAATCATACATACTTATAATTAATTCATCATTTACAATGAAGTTTAAATAAAGTTTATGTATGCAATGAATATTTAAAGAGATGATGGAATTAAATATCAGTCTAGATTTCCTAGTAAAATAAGGTACATATATTATGGGGTTGTGAGGATTTTTAAGTCAGACATTTAAAATCATGATTCGATCAATTTTTGATCATCATTAGAAACCTGGGAATACTTGACGGCTGTTTCTTCCTGGCATAGGACTCAACAGCAGTGCGAATCCACGACCTTCCGTTTTGTGCTCGAACGCCTAATAGTGGAGGGTCGTGAGCAGTGAAGTTCGACTTGTTCAGGTGTAGACAGTAAGTACCGAAGACAGTGTATGGGATTGCACAAGTCCGTGAGCTGATCGAAGTTAGACATCAACACCGTTAGATACCGGCTCAGTAGTTCAGAGGTTAGGCGTTTGCGCGCAAGACCGAAGAGTCGTGGATGCGCACTGCTGTTGAGCCCGACACCAGGACGTAACGGCCGTCCATTTGCTTTCAGGTTTCTAATGGTGGTCTAACATTGATCGAATCAAGATTTCTAACATATATATATATATATATATATATATATATATATATATATATATATATATATATATATATAACACTTTAAATTCTGAAATAGTATTACTAAAACATAGTTGTTGTTTCACAATTTTACCAAGATTATACAAACTAGAAATGAATGTTAATACAGTTGAATGAATACAATTTCAATCTAATTTTTCTCAGGATAAAGGGATTATGTCGAGGATTGAAATCCAGGAGGCATGCTTCAACCTATTTAGGACTTGTCAGCTGGTTATGCTTGCTATCTCAGAGTTTATATTCACTCCAATATTTGAACTTGCTTATGGCTTCTACTACTAGTCAAGTTTCATGTATTCCATGTAAAAAAGGGACGATAATGGCTCTCTATAAAAACAATCCACACAAGGTACAGATAATTCAACTATGGCTAATCAAAATGCAGTATAAACAACGGGATCACTCAAACCATTACAAATTAAATATACTTCAACTTTATTTTTTTTTTAAAAGAAAGATGTAACGGCAATCTTATGCTATATGCGTTATTTAGGTACAAAGTTGGCGTGTTATGAAACTAACCAACCAATAGATTTGTGGCTAAACACAAATTACGATACCGAACTAGAGGAACGATCAATCATCTTTAAAATCGGAAGTAATTTCTACATATTTGTTGTATGTGCAGGCAGTGATGACCCAACCTAGAAGTTATCTCGAAGGAGGCTATTTATGATGGTATTAGGTTCTGGAGTCAGTTCATTGATTCCAATTACTACCTGATCTGAAAGTGATCAAGAATTACAAGCTTTCAGGACTATACCTGATTCCCTAAAAATATCACTGTCCATTAGTCGACACCTCGTTGTTTCAGCTAGAAACTCCAGATTGTTTCTACAGTAGGCATTCTTATTACTAACTACCCTGTCGTCATTTTATTCTCTCACAATAACGAGATCCATCTTGTCAACAAAGGAAGTTCAGACAGGCCTAACGTTTTTCAAACCAACATGAGATGACGTCATAAAGTTATATGATACTAACAAAGATATTAAACTGACATGTAGCATTATAAAAAGTCCATTTCCATGCATTGTAGAAAGCTGGAAACACTTTGCTACTAAGAGAAAACCCCAAATGAAACGGTACCATGATAGCTGCTTTAACCTAAGTTTGGCTAAGGGAATTAAATAATTTTCTGTACTTGTCAAGTAGAAAACCCTATTAAGTTCTGTTTTTACTTTTCGATTCACTACAGGCTTTTACAGCATAAGACTAAAAAACCTAAATAGTAATGAGACACAGAAACTGCAATCAGAATCGTATGGGTAGGTGAGATCACTTCAGTCAACTAACCATCATCTTCGGTACTAACTGTAATACCTAAGTAGCAAAAGCTAGTGAAGGTTAACACTACTCACTTAATTTTCGTAGTTCCATAGACGTTTAAACTAGCTTCCTAAACAGCACAACTGCTAAATTGTTTCATTCATCATCAATGAAGTCAAAATGTGATATTCGTTCGGGACTACCTACCACCTATACGTTTTACAAAAGACATCACTAAGTTTTAAGTGTAATCCACTTGAACGAATCACTCGACAAGTTAACGTTTCGTATGATGATTCAAAAGCCTAAAACAATAAATACTAAACGAATTACACTAAAACCAATGATCCAAAGAAAATCCTATTGAGTCAGACAGCAGAGAATGGGAAATCACAATGTAATGAATTGATCTATGACTAATGTAATATGATAATAAAGGATTTCCTGGCGACGTGGATGAAGGCAGTTAAAACAACCAGCCGACGCATAAGGCATATTAAGATGGTAAAGTATGACACTGAGGTGTAAACTAAAAGTTCTTAATACGAGCATGCTCCTCGACAGCGGAAAAAACTGGTATCAAACCGACAGGCAACTATGATTCGTGAGACGCAATTTTATTTACGATTCTTGGATTCTAGCTTGGTGTCACCAAGTTCGTCAGTTTTTCAATGGCGGAGGTTAACTACTAAGCAACGTTAGCAAACAAGTTTATCGACAACTGATCAATTGTTTACGACGTTTGATCAAGTTGGTGAGGCAGGACCAGAAGGCTAAAAGCAATTAGAGCCGACGAGTGCGATCCCAGTAACCACGAAGTCACCATTGGTGATTAGTTCCCGACCTAGAACACATAACAGCAACAGCACAAGTGCCTTCAGGACACGTTTGTAGTTATCCAATATAATAACCATCTTGAGTAGGCCGATCGGAAGCATCCACCTAACCTAATAAGTGAGAACCTTAACTTTGAGCAACAACACGGCATACCATGTATACGTTGCTCGCTAAACCCAGTCACCCGTTCGCATCCACGTTGGTGTATGCGCACACGACAACGCGAGAAGGACATCGCGGACACCACGAGGCACAACATCCTAGCCCTGGGACAAGCAGGGGTAAGCTGAACTACTACGTCACAAAATCGTGACCGTCGCAAGGCTCACAAGAGCATCAGAGGATTGACTGGAATCATCAACAAGGTACCTAACGGTAAGCTTGAACCCACGATGGAGGGAAACGATGAGACAACCATACCACTGGGTTGTCACCGGCGGAACGGCAGCCGAGCCACTGGCCCGCGTGAACCACAGGCACCACAAGACCCTAACGACTAAACGAGGTGACCGTGTCACCGGCTTTAGGTGGGACATAGACGACGGAACCATGGGGGCAGCTTGGAGCACACCACTCTGCCGAGTCCTACTGCGCCACCGATGTGACACAGGGCGGGCCACCGGGAAACTCACACCGCACCTAGTGCCCCTTTTGTCCCTAATATCAATGGACCACTACTAAGATACACGCTTAGTTGGAAACCATGACTTAACCGATAGTCAGCCTACTGCTAATCAATGCGATAATGACGGCACGACTATGTGCTGTATACCTTAACCCACTGTCTACCTACGAACACCGCTAGAATCAACCCAATATGACGCTGTTGAGTTTGTAACTGGATTAGTATTCGACTATGTTGAGTTTAAGAATAAGAACTATCCTTCATAACTGTTTATTAGGAACAAAGTTTGAGAATTTGAAATGACCTCACGTGTCGAAAAGTTGATACAAAAATCTTAGACGCATAAGGGCTGGAGCAAAATGTAACGGCAAAAACGCTGATCCCTGGATTAGAACAGTCAAATAAAAGCCAACAAACGACACAAGAATTCGCCTCGGTATGACAATAGCTACAGTTAAATGCAAAATGACACAAAGGCGTATTCAAGAGTGTGCACAAAACCGGGACGCGATGTACAAGTGTGGAAACAGTCTGTTTTTGCCATTGTACAATAAATCAAATGTCTCAATAATGTTCCATGCAGATGCGAAGACATACACATTTCGGAAACAAAGATTGAAGTTTATATGGAAATGATATATTGCAATGATCTTTAAACATCCGCTACACCGGCTTCATCCTCATCGAGATCCTGATCATCATCGTCATCTTCATCCTCTTCATCGTTTTCTTAAACAAAATTAAACCGCGAGTATTAGTATTTGTTGAGGGAAGACATTGAGATTATCAGAAAGAACAGAACTTACCATTTTCTTCATCTAGATCTGGTGAGAGGTAATACTGGAGTGGATTAGGCCATATATCGTCCTTTATTACTTCACCAAGCTCATCGCCGAATACTGAGGATTCATCTGTGAACCAGCAGAAGAAGCTATCCTGTGTCTGATCTTCAAATGCTCGTTTCTTCGCTTGATCTCCACCATTCTTTTTCGAGTTTGATGAATTACTTGTTAAGTCTTTGCCCGGGTGCCAATCTATTTTGGTGTACGTAGATGAAGGTTCACCAGTATCTCCCAAATGGAATTCTTTCGTTAATACACTGTTCTTGAACCATTCATTCTTTTCGAAGTGCTAAAATGGAACTAATCAGACAATCTACTGTAACATACGAAGTTAATTCGGAAACCAGACTTAATGTCATCAAACTCCTGAACTTCTACTTTCTTCAGATGCTTCAAAACACTCTCGTCGTTGCTAGTAAGCAAGTCTGACAATTGAGGATGATTGATAAAAGTAGTGAGCCAGAAATTGGGGATTTTGGAGATCAGCTCGCACCGTTTTTCGAAGTGAGGCTGCCTCAATTTATTGAACTTTTGCTCAACTTTGAGGATTTCTTCACTGGCTTGCTCATTGAGGTTGTCAATGGCATTTTGAACTTCCTCTATCTCATCGATGAGAGCATTAGTCGAACCTGAAACGAAAACATCAGTAGCAAGATAATCCTATAGCCATGTCATCAGTCATATATTTTGGTAGAAAAGTAAACTTATTGAAATAGACTTACTTAGTTCACCGTCTGCTCCAGTATCATTACTGGGACGAGGAACTTTAGGTTGGGTCGCCATTACAGATGGACTTGATGGATAACCACTGAACAGGATATGCACATGGCCTCCATAGTATTAAAACAAGTTGAGTCAAAATCAAATATCTTCGAAAAAATGATATTTTTCTCTGTTTACCTTTACTTTTTAGTCAGAAGATGTTCTAACTGATAAATCACGCAGTTTACCACAGATGAATAAGAGTAGTTTTAGCATCTTATTGACGAAATCCTACACTATCCGGTTTCTGTAGTCTGTAATGAAAAGCTAGTCGTAAACGAAATAGTGGGTGTATTACATGGCTTGCATCTTTATAAGCCAATTCTGACGAGCCAGATAAAGATCTTATATCACCACCAGTTCCCAGTTGCGAAGTGACTGCTCGTTTTACTCAGGAAATGTCAAAGGTACCTTTGGATTTAGTTGATCAGAAGTTAGTTGGAAAATCTTCGATTCACTTTAAAAGCGTATTGAGGAATCTAGGAGATCCTGGACTCTGCTAGTTTTGGTGTGAACTTCTGACCAAAGGTACCATTCATGATTATGTCTCAAAACTTACTTTATTGAGATCGAAGAAAATAATATCGAAAAATTATAGAAATGAATTCGATTTCATGTATTGATGACAGATGTATAAGGACCTGTTTTTTTGTTTTGTTGTAGGCCTCAGTGAATGTTTAGTCTTCGGCTGTACAAGGTGGTTAAAATTGAGAACCTGCGGTCGAAAGGATAAAGAAATCGAACCACTATAGTCACCATGTGCGTCGGAACAAACAATTTTTAATGTTCTGATTTATCAACTATCGTCACGAAAAACTTGAAAATTATTCTAGTGAGCTCCGTTACATGTTTCGCACTCAGCTAATGTCCCCATGAATACTATATACTTTAGTGTCAGTCAATCCGTCCTCAGGGTTGAAGCCCCAGGTTAGTGCAACTTAATTACTTACGCCTGTTACCCCGAATGTAGCATGGGCCTCCAATCAGTATTCTCCAAACTAATCAGTCCTGCTCTTCCCTTTCCACTTCGGTCCAATTTTTACACATTCGTCACATATCTGTCTCCATTTCTCGGCGTAATGTGTTCCTTGGTCTTCCTCTTGTCCTCTCACCTGGAGGGTTCCTTGTAAGGACTTGTCATGTCATGCAGGGGAATGCTTTCCGTAGTTTGTGCCCTATTCTCTTCCACCGCTTCTTCCTGACTTCATCCTCCATTGGAAGCTGGTGTGTTCTCTTCCACAGTAGGTTGCTGTTGATAATGTCTGACCAACGGATCCGAAGTATTTTACGTAATAAAATAAATACTTGTATCTTCCGAATGATGGCTTTGGTAGTTCTCCAAGTTTCTGCCCTATACAGTAGAACTGTCTTGACATTTTTATTTAAAATTGTGATTTTGGTGTTTGGTGATAGCTGCCTTGAGTTCCAGATGTTGTTTAATTGTAGAAATGCAATCCTTCATTTTAGTTTGATGTTGGGTGTGTTCAGTGGGGCTGGTCGATTAAAGAGTTCTTCAGAATGCTCTACCACCTGTTTCTCTTCTCTTAAATGTTGCTAATTACCTTGCCTTCTTTGCTTTTCACTGGTCGTTCTCATTTTAGGATTGTTTCCAGTGGACTTATTTGTCGTCTCGTAAAATTGTCTCAAGTTTGCTTCCCTTGCAGCCTTTACAGCCATCATTGCTAGATCTTCCACATATTTGCTTTTGACGCCTTAACCATGGAAAATGATTGGAAAAAGATCAAAGAGGCAATCACCTCAAAATCTCACGAGGTTCTAGCACACAAGGAATGCCATCAAAAGGAATGGATGTCTGCTGGCACTTGAAAAAAAATCAAGAAAGAAGGAACAATAAGGCAGCAATCGAAATCAGCCCAACAAGAGCAGAGAAGGCTTTTTTCCTTTGATTGAGTAGATCGTGCAAAGCCTGGAACCTACTGCTGAGGGTTATCCTCAGTTCGTTGTGTTTTGCGGTATCCCGAAGGAAGGCCGCATTAACCTTTCGTGATGTTGTCCGCCCCGTTGTCTAGTGCTTCTTGAGCCTCAGTTTCATTTTGACTACCAGCAAGAAGTGACATGTATCTATATCAGTTTTATGCTCGTCAACTGATAGGCTTCAGACTATTACGAGTTCACCTTCGTTGGCAAACGAGAGCGAAGACAAACGATCCAGGAACACGACAGGCTTTTCTAATCTGAGGTTCTCAAGGCCCTGATAACGGTATCAAAAGTTGTGGAATTACCAAGAAAGTGTATTGTACAAGGACCCAGAAAATATGAGGTTGACAAGCACACAAATCGAGTTTATTTATAAATGATAGAAACCTCCTTGGGAGAGCCTTAAAAATAGTCTACTAAGATAACACATCAACCAATGACAGTCAAGAATTTTCGGGTGGGAAATGTAATCTCAAGCTCAGCTGATCAGCCAATGTGCGAAAACACCAATTTGAAAATTAGGACTTTTTTTCAAGTGAACTCTGTGGATCTAACGTCCCCTGCAGTCAGCTCCTCTCTTGGTTTTCACATCCTCCATAGCCCTTCTGAACGTTTTGTTGATACAGATATGGTCAATTTGGTTCTGAGTTGTGTGGTCCGGTGAAATCCATGTAGCTTTGTGTGGGAATATTGTGCCACCGATGACCAGTTTGTTGAAGGCACATAGGTTTGCAAATCTCTCACCGTTTTCGTTCCTTTTTACCACTCCATGTCGTCCCATTATGTCTTCACATCCAGCGTTGTCCACGCGAACCTTGACATTCAGGTCTCCCATTAGAATCTTCAAATCCTTTGTAGGGCATCTGTCGACGATTGACTGCAGCCTTTTATAGAATTGATCTGTAACGTCGTCATTGTAGTCATTGGTAGGTGCATAACATTGGATGACGTTCATTGTAACGTCATCTTTCCTTGTTTTGAAAAATGTTTTAGTTATCCTGGGTCCATGAGATTCCCATCCTATCAGTGCCTTTTGTGCTTGTTTGGACAGCATCAGTTCAACTCCTTGTGTATGTGAAGTATTTTCCTCTTCATGACCAGAGTATAACAGCAGTTTCCCTGAAGCTACTCTCAGTTATCCTACCTGTGTCTAATGCGTTTCACTGATTCCAAGAACCTCGAGGTTGCATCTTTTCATTTCTGCCGCAACTTGAAATAATCTTCCGGTCTCCGACAATGAACGTCATCGGCCTCGTCACCCTCGACGGAACTCTGCTTTCGTCATGAGATGTCATAACCCTTCTGAATGAAGACGTTCTCACTCTCAGGACAGAGTTAAAATGGTTTGAGTTGTGTTTTCTGATAAGCATATTTTGTGAGTTAGTTCTGTTTGGTATTGGGTGGCAAATACGAATCCCAACCCTCCTCCTTTTTCTGAATTCCCAGGTTAGTGTGGTGCATCGTTAATACGTCTTCTGTATACCGTTTTTCAGACAAGTGGTAAGTCTAGTGCTTTAATGTGAACTGAGTAAGATTTGTCGCAAACTTGTTCCAAAAGATAGTATCATCCCTGATCCTGTGGTTCTTGGTGATGAAATTATTCATGAGTACAGTCCCAAGCATTAATCAAAGTTTTGAATTATACGGTAGTTAGATTACTCGATGTGACGGAGTAGAGCTAACAAATGACCCCATGTCACTTCCTGATTAAGATTCATTACTTCATTAATTGATTTGCCGTCCCTACCTAGCTAGTACTCGTTTCCTAACGACAGCACTGCTTGCTTGGTTGTCCAGCAATATACGAGCGATTCGTCGAATACATCTACAATCGAATACTAATAACCTACGAATGAGATCTACATTCACCTGCCATGTTTGCATCCGTATATTAGGATGAAGCGAACTGAATTGCAGTAGGTTAAACTCTGCTTGACAGATGGATATCTCGCCTTCGCCATCACGTTTGACTACTTCACTCCGTATCACTATTTCAGGTTCCGATGCAACCCAGTCTTTAAGCAAAATTTTCCATTTCGAATGGGAGAATTCCATCCCGAAAATGCTTGCATTGTTGTTTAGGGGGTCTAAAAACTGCATTTTATCAGCGTCTTCACCAAGTAAACTATGTGATCGGCATATTCTAAGACAATTAGTGAATATCCTGGTAGAAGGTCAACTGCTGAAAATTCAGACGAAGATAATGTTATATCTAACAGCATGTCTATGACAAAATGAGACAAGAATGGGGAAAGTGGACATTCCTGACAGACACCACTATAAGCTCTAACTCGATCTGTAGTGTTAGAGTACAGAGTTTATGTAAGGCTAATGTATTTCTTTGGTACACTGATACATTGCTACGGAAACTCACGATCCACTGAGTCAAATGCCGCCTTAGGGCTCACGAAGACAACTATTTTAGGACGACTACATGCGTGTCAGTGTCCTTGGGCCTGTCGTAGTGTAAAAATGTGGTTTATACAGCAACGTCCAGGTCGAAAACCAGATTGGTTTTCTCTAGTCTGCTCTTCACGAGCACTAGTAAGGCGTCTAAGTATAATCGAGGCTAACAATTTAGAAACTATGTTAGTTAGACTTATTCCCCTGTGATTGTCACAAGAAGATTTTATACTTTCTTGTAGGTTGGGACAATCAGTGATTGAGACAAGTCAGATGGGATTAAGTCCAGTTCCCAGATTCTACCTAAGATCTCAGTCAACCCAGCTGCTAAAACTGGACCACCATCCTTGAATATATCAGGGGTCAGTCTATCAGGACCTGCAGCTTGCACTCGCTTCAGATTTCCTAACGCTTACTCAACTTCATAAAGCCTCGGAGGGCTTAAATCGATTTGCCATTCAGGATGACTGGAGATCGTGGATAACCGACGTGTGCCTGAAGGCCAGTTGAATGGATCCCTAAAGTGTTGTGTCCATCTATCCAATCTCCTGGATTGAGAATGAATAGTAGTCCGATCATTTTCCGAGATAGTCTCACTCACATTTGGGTTCCTAATACCGGTTTCCTTGACAATGTGGGACAACTGTCTGCTGTTGCCTATTGCCGCTACCTTTTCCATTGCTCTGCACTTCGTTACCCATCTCTATGCACGATCATTGCGTAGGCTTTTTATCAGCCTGCCCTTAAGCTGACTCCGCTCCTCATCGAACTCAGAACCAGGCGGGATGAGCTTTCGAGCATCCATCAGTTCGGTGGATGCTATTGAAATCCAAGGCCTCTTCCTAGCCTTATGGCTTACCGTACTGGCAGATATCATTGCCGTTTCCACAGC